AATCGATTTATCGCCCAGCCCTAGATACAGGGTTACTTTTACTTTAAAGTTTTGATATTCCGTGATTAAAATAATTTACTTTTTCTTAACTTTCTACTTTAACATCTCATTTTTTGTAGTAGTTTATCTGCATTATAACTCACCATGGGAGCCAGTGCTCACAATAATCACGTGGCCGATGATATTTCAGGGAAACAATGCTTCATTCAGTCAGTGAATCCCACGACCTGTGTGCCACACACCCAATGTCACATTCTATCAGTCACTCAGGTGTTCAGTCATTCAGAAAAATCACAAAGTCAGTCTTTATTTGTACATCACGTTTTGTATTAACGGCAGCTGAAGTTCTTTACAACTAAAAATACATCCACAAATAGACGGCGTATCTTGAACAAAGTTACACATCCTTAAAAAAGGGAAACGGAGAACTGTTCAAAAGATTAGTTTAGATCCAAACTTGTGCTTATTCATCACATCAGAAAGAGTACACTGTTCTATAATCTATTTTACCAGCAGTAGTGACCTGATTTTAAAGTAACTCAACCATTCAGAAATACTTTTAATCAGAATCAGAATCGGGTTTATTGCCTAGTAAGTTTTTACACGTACAATGAATCTTTCCTTGGTGTGTTTGTGCATAAAAATCACAATCATCAAGTACTTTTTGAAATATAAATAAATAAAGATATATATATAAAAAGATCTAAAGCTGTACAGGGAAGATTTTTACAATGTGCAGGATAGAAAAACCAACGTGAGTGCATTAATGTAATGCATATATACAGGGTGGGTTTAAGAGTCATTAACCACACAGCACTACTTGTTTTATTGTTTCTGAGAGAAAAGTGTGTAAAATAGACACAGGAGGAGGAAAACCAGTAGAGCTAAAAACCGTCTCTCCATCCGTATGCCGACCTAACTGCTGTCACCGTCTGCACTCCCCTCTTTACCACTGCTTCACTCTTGTGTTGTCCATATAACCTCTCCATTGTGAGCAACAGTACCATAATTCCTTTGCGGCCCTACAGGAGTGCTGATGTACCGGGGTTTTCCTCTGGATATGTTCATGGCTCAGTGCTACGCCAACGCCGATGACCTCGGCAAGGGCCGGCAGATGCCTGTCCATTACGGCTCCAAAGACCTGAACTTTGTCACCATCTCCTCTCCTCTGGCCACTCAGATTCCTCAAGGTGAGCTGTACACCCTGTGCGTAAACCTCTCCAGCCTCTGAAGACGATGCTTACACCTGTGAATGTATATTAATGCCTGATGTGTCTGTTTCAGCTGCTGGAGCTGCATACGCCTACAAGAGAGAGAACATGAACCGTGCTGTGATCTGTTATTTCGGAGAGGGAGCAGCCAGCGAAGGGGACGCACACGCCGGCTTCAACTTCTCTGCCACCCTCGAATGTCCACTGATATTCTTCTGTCGTAACAACGGCTACGCCATCTCCACCCCCACCAACGAGCAGTACAGGGGAGATGGCATTGGTGAGAAGCCTCGGTGCAGTTATATGCAGTAGTGATGAATGGGCATTCGATTAAATTGTCTTAGTCGATCGTCGGGAGAATTAACGATCGATTTTTCGATTAATCGTTAATATTTTTATATTAAAATTCACTATTTATATGCCATATTCAAAATGCAATGAAAATACAAAAACACAGCGTTTTCCTCATGAGATCTTTATTACAAGATGACCTCGTCCTCTTCATGATTAC